CCCGTGTGGAAAACAGACATATTGTTTAATGAGCGGATAAACTCAGTGAGAAATCACTGGCCCAAAGAAGATAAATCCCACTGCGCCGGCCGCCTGTCGCTTCAGTCCGAAGGCTGCCGGCTGCTGATGAGGCCTCCTCTCAATCATGAACGGTGCCGGAGAGCTGGATGAGATGGTGATTTGTTCACTGATGCGATTGGTGCTCGCTGTACGGTCGATCGGTTAGCGGTGAAACAACAGTGATAAAGACAAGGTGACGGGCGATCGCACACACACACACACACACAGGCGTACATCACGCTGAGCCTGTTAAAGGTCAGCTGTCAATAAAATCTATGTTGTTCTCGTTTATAGTTGTCATGAAAGGCATGACATCTCTGCACAATTTACAATATGTAGGGGATAATACTGTGGTCATTTGCCAATGTAAAAATATATTAAGACCATTCATTTATGTTTTCCATGCGTTTTGCACCCAAAATGAAATAGTTTCTTTTCTCAAGCCATTCACTCCGTTTCCCTGCTTAACCTGAGGGTTTGCTAAAACCTACAAGGTTCATTTATTGTCATTGTACAGGGTTGCACAGCGGACTGCAGTCTGTTGTCTCATTTTGCTCCATAAGAAGATACACGCATAAAACAAATGTACAACTTATTTACAATGCTATTGATTTTGTCATTCTACCTCTTGGACAGAAAGCAAAAACATCTTTCCCGAAATGTCGAAACTACTCCTTTAACATTCTCCATGTCTATTCAGCTCCTATCAACTCGTAGCTGACCACCATCCTAACATGTAAGTTACCGTATAATTCAAATTATTACACTGTTTTGTTTAATACTCGACTCTAATTTGTCAATTAGAGGACAATTTCTAGCAATGAAATCATTTTTTAGTCAATAAAATCCTTTTAAAATATATATTTTGTGTCAAATATGTAATTTCTTTAGTAAGTAGCGGTGTAGTAAGTAAAATAATCTACATAAAACTAACGTCCAAATTGTACTCACTAAGCAAAATGATCATGATAAATACATTTGCAGAGCTATGAGAGAACTCAATGGAGCTTAGCGGTACATCAGGAGAGCGGTTCTATTCGTGCTTCACCATCATGACCTCATACATCAGCTGCTTGGTTACCAGCTGATTAGCAGCGTCCAATCACATTCACGCAGATGCGAGTTCTCTGCTTAGATGAGCGTTCATGAGCGTGTTTAAGTTTGTTCTCCCAGCAGAATCCTCACCATTCCTCCTAATACAATACATTATAATTTAATTATCGTCATTGCAGTTTAATCAAAATGCATTTGGATATTTCTTTCTGCAGGGTGAAAATGATGCTGAGCATCTCGAGGTCAATCAGGGACCATGCACATGGAGTCATTTAAACCGAGAATCCATCAGTGTATTCAATATGTCGCAGACACCCACCGACACACTGAGCGACGCTGATCCCTCTGAGGGAGAATTGATCCCTCTGGCTGATTACATCCACAGAATAGGTCTGTGGGAGATAATGGTGAAGAGTGTACAGCAGCGCGGGGACTGTCTCTATGCATTACTTCAACAACGGTCTGAATACTAAACACGCTTCCTTCTTTCTCTCCCTGCTCCTCATTTTAAAGGCACTAAATAATATATTCTAACCATGGCAATTCAACATACCTTCTCTGGTTGTTTATATTTGTCACAAACACCTTAGATAGATCCAGACATGGCAATGCATCTGCACACACACACACACACACACACACACACACACACACACGCACACACTCAAGCTTTGATTCTCTGTCTAAATCTTTGACTTTTTTTCAGAACTCCCCCGGGCGAGTCGAGTCGGGTTTGCTTTTATTTTCAGTTGAGCAGAAATGCTTCGTGCCATAATCACCAGCATACTTTCATACATGATTTGAATATCGACATTTGACTGTTGCTTCATTGATTTTTCGCTGCGGTTCAAAGGTCACGTCTCTGACAGCGGTTGCCTAGAACAGAGTCTCATTAACCCTTTAAACTCGGGGTGTTTGTTTTGCACCTGTCGTATGTTATATTCTGTGGCCTCGTTTTTTCTACTACAGTATAAAAGTCCTGCGTTTTTATGGAAAGAAAACAATCATGGATAGAAGTAGAGGGAACTCAAACATGCTCTGCACATCTTTTGTGCAGTGCAACACAGTCATAATGCCATGAATCATAATCCTACTACTTTGATCATTTATTTTACGAAAATTGAAAAAAGAAATCTATACATACAACATCTTCCAAGTGTTTCCAATGTTGAAAAATGAAATTTGGCTCCACGGACGATATATATGAAACTATTTGCATACCTCTGCTCTCCTGTCCTCTCCTCTCCGCTCTGTGTTTAGCAGTCAAAGTTTCACAGAATGTCTGTCACATGACCGTTTGTCTCAGCTGAGTCATCACATATTCACAGTTGTGCTGAAGAGCCAAGAATTGAAGTTGTTTTTTTACAGGATCTGAAAAAACAAAAGCTCCTTTTTTTTTTAGATGCTAACTAAAACTTCTCTTCTTGTTTCCCTTCTACTGGTGTAATGTGAGGACGCTCCATCCTCGCCGCATTCGGCGGCTCCTTCAGGAAACCACAAATTAGCGGTTACGCAGGCCTCTGATTAGTCATTCATAGAGTGATTTGTTAAGAATGTTGTGTTTTCTTTCCTGCTCACTTCCTCTGATGAGATGAAAGCAGAAGCAGATGGGGGGGGGCGCAACTTGTCAATGACGCAGATGCCTAAAAAGAAATGCTATTTGTGTGAGCTGCTGACCTTGAGTGATTTATCTTTATCTGCTTCTCAGGTGAACGAGATTTACCACGACGAGTCGCTGGGGGTCCACATCAACGTGGTCCTGGTGAGGATGATCATGCTGGGCTACGCCAAGGTGAGTTCAACACTCCATTTCTGTTGATGGGAAAAATCTGCCTCCTCCGGTGAGAGATGATTGGTGAGTGGGAGGAGACTGTTCTGTAGCTTAGAGACACGCTCCTCCACACTTGTACAGGGCTGCAGCTATTATTTTCATCTTGCATTAATTGACAAATCATTTAAACCAGAAAATGGAAAAGGAATTGCCATCACATCATCAGAGCCAGAGGTCCTTTGCACTTCACTATGCATGTCGGTACACGGCTGCTGCACTACAGAGCCGGTAAACACACTTCAAATAAAAGTAAAAGACAGAAAGTGGCCTTTGAAATTGTTTAGTTTAAATGCAGTATTGATAAAAACACAACAGCTCCAAACATGGGTTACAAAGCAGCAGCAGGATGCAATATAGAAAGCAGAGAGTTGGACACAAGAAGCCAATAATAACACTGTTTTTTGACAGTGACTAGAAAACGAAAAGGGAAAATGCCAGAAAGAACCTCCAGTAGAAAATAATAGTGTCCCCATAGGAAGAACAACACAGTAACTAATCTAGATGCAGGAGTTGACATCAGCATTTTAAACACCGTTCTGCTGCTAAACAACAATCAGCAGATACCTCTAAGAACTCTGTGTGCTTTATTCTCTGTGTCATTATTATTCATTCATAGCATCATTAACCGTCCTGAGAGTTTGCCAACGGATACATTCACCAACAATGTGATGATGTTCACATGCACAACACTGATCGTCGTGAAGAACAGACACATGCTCAGGTCTCATTTCCTGTTGTCCGATTAAGTGATGGTTTGGGATTATATATAGATATGCACTCGATCAGCACAAATCACCCTGAACATTGGCCCAAATGCTTCAGAAGCCCTGGCACAGAGATGTCGTAGACACACACACACGCACACACACACACACTTAAAAGTCTGTGTGCAGCATTGTGTTGTGTTTGCTGTGGGGAAACAAAAGCTCAGCCCAGAGGTGAAGCATTTACCCGTCACCGCTGGCTGTTACGGTACACTAGAGGGAAAAACGAAAGTCACAAATATTAATGTCTAAAGTTTCCATCCGGAGTAAACAAACAGAACCAATTCATCTACAGAGCAAACAGTTTTTAAACGCTCTGATGCTCCCAAAGTGTCACGCCTGCTATTCATAGTCTGCTGTCTTTCATGTGCAACATCACAGTAATAACAAATACCGACACACTGCGTTTTGTTTTCATGCTGGTGTTTGTGAGAAGTGGTTATTTCAACCTCACGTTGTCTCGCCGACCCAAACGCAGGACACCGACAAGAGGAAAGTGAAGCGATGAGGACGGTTTATGAAGGTGGATGTGGGGGGAAAGTCTGATTTCTAGTGGTGCCAGAGGTCAGAGGTTAGAGTGGAGCTGGAGACCGGAGACACGAGGCAGAGCACAGATTGGCGGCTGGATGGGATCGCGGCCAGACAGCGAGCAGGTGTGCCGGATTAACTGCTGATGTTTGCGTGTACGGGAGAAGGATATGTTGAAGGAGCGGCCTCTCAGGACCCATCGTCCACTAACCAGGAAATCATTTTGATCGCTCTGTGTTAGGTGTCGATGCGTGATAATCACTCATGTCAATACATCCTTCACAAAATGCTCTTGTGGTCTGTCTTATATTTGTATCTAATACAGCGAAGGCAACACTGTGTGCTTTGTGCCAACTTTACATATTTCTATAATGTTCAAGTATTTAGTGCTAGCTTCACGTTTTGTTACATGTTAGCTAGACTTACTCATTAACGTTACTGTCAAATAACTGCTTTATTGGCCAAGCAGGCAGCTTATAAAGTACACAAGTTAATCTGATTGATTTCCCACTGTTGAGTCTCCACGCTGCGTCCCAGCTGGGTGTATTTCACCCACAGGCTTTATGAAAGTATAAACAGGTCTTACATCGTCTTAACGTCTGATTAATAACGATTTATGATAATATACGGCAGACAACAAGAGCAATTTCAAAAGGACTTAGAGAGTGTTTTTTTTAAACACACAACCCCCACCACCTACTTTCTCGTCCTCTCTTGTCTTCTCTAAGCGTCCTCGGAATGAATTTTACAGCAAGCCGTCGCATTCGTAATCTTTCAAAAGATGCCCACAAAAGAATTTGATGGAGGGGCGAAGCGATCAAAATGTTTATTTCCTGGTTAGTTCGACGGCGGGTCCGGAGAGGCCGCTCCTGCGAGACATCCGTCTCACGCTCGCAATCATCACCAGTTCCATTTCAAACACCAGTTAATCTCACTCACAGGCAGTGGTCCTGTGGCACAGAGAAGCAGCTTACAGCAAGTAAGCTAGATTTACCGTCGGGTTGATGAGTGGATGGAAGGTCAGGTGTTCAGTCTGGACAGGCGAGGTGAATGAGCCGTGAGAGCGCACACTACGAACAGACAGAAGACACAGAGGGTGAGGGACACCCTGGGAAAACACAAGGGGACACTTCAGTTAACTGGTCACTTGTGAAAAAACCCAGAGTCCCCATGTTCAATCTGTGTCTGCACAGAATGCTCCTCACACCTGTGACGGTTAACAATCTCTGCAATTGTATGGTCTGCTGACAGAATACTAACATGTTCATTTACTCTGTCATGGTTCTCTCTCTCTCTCTCTCTCTCTCTCTCTCTCTCTCTCTCTCTCTCTCTCTCTCTCTCTCTCTCTCTCTCTCTCCATCCTGTCAGTCCATCAGCCTCATCGAAAGGGGGAACCCTTCACGGAGCCTGGAGAATGTGTGCCGCTGGGCGTTCGTGCAGCAGAAGGGCGACCTCGAGCACGCCGAGCACCACGACCACGCCATTTTCCTGACTCGCCAAGGCTTCGGCCCAACGGGGATGCAGGGTAAGGCCCCCGCAGAGGAAACGCCGGCATTCAAATGAGAATGCGCGGCTGCCTTGCAGAACTTTGGACCTGCACTGTGTGGTTCATCTCAATGCAGTCACGGGAAGTTATCCAACTTGACACACAGCAGTGAGAGCAGCCTGACTTGGGAATGTGCAACCTGTTCTTTGGTTTAAATCTGACATTAATGCAACAGTTTTAATAGTTTTCCACACCATCCTCACAAGTTGGCATCAACATACAAATATGCAAGTTAGAAGGGATCCCTCTCCCGGGATGGGAAGTACAATAGATGGCATGTGCACAGAATGAACAACATAACAGAGTTACAACACATTCAATGCATATGACATGAATTATTCATACACACAGATTATTATGGTATATCATAATACTACACTAAGATAGGTTTGTACCCAATCATACTCACCTTTACATGTCAAAATATACATATAATCATGTTTTTACTGAGATGATATCACGAGATCAGCAGCTCTTTTGATGACCTCTGATGTTTCTCTGTTAGCATTGTTTTGCACATGTCATTGACAGTTCTACATGTTATGGAAGGAAGATATCCATTCATTAACAGATAACGTAAGGGGGGATATCCATCTCGTGGTTAGGATTTATTTTGGTTGTTTATATAATGTTTGGGAGGCTCAGTATCTGAACCCCAACGATATCGCACAGCTCTCATAAGATAGATAGATAGATAGATAGATAGATAGATAGATAGATAGATAGATAGATAGATAGATAGATAGATAGATATGTACTTTATTCATTCCCAGGGGGAAATTTGTATGTTACAGCAGCAAGACACACCAAGAAGCAAAGTAACAGAGTAACCAAAAATATTAAGTATTAGAAAATGCACAATATATACAATAGAATAACAGAGTAGGACAAATTAAATATCAGAATATAGAATATATAAGATAAAACAACAAAATTGCACAGTATATACAATGAAATAGAATAGTGTTAAATGAACTAATAGGTGAAAAACAATAGTGCAAAAATCAACCCCAGCAAACAACAGTGTAGCAGTGTGTAGTTATGTGGAGGATGATTTGGCCAGAGGTGATTTATTGTACAGTCTAAAGCAGAGGGCAGGAATGTTCTCCTGTATCTTTCCTTGTGACAGCGGAGCTGGATCAGTCTGTTGGAGAAAGTGCTCCGCTGTCCCTGCAGTAGGTGGTGGAGAGGGTGGTCCGGGTTATCCAATATGGATAATAATTTCTTCATTAGTGAAATCTGTCCAGATTCTGTGTGATTACATTTTAAATGCAGTAAGCGTTTCAAGGTAAAGCTACAGGGCTTCTGTCTGAAAAGAGCCCCGACCAATCAGAAAGCCTCTTTATACCAATATCAAGCGCTAACAGCACGACCGATCTCCCAAGGGTAACACCCCTATGCTTATTAGGGCTTCATTAGTTGACACTTTTCCTTAATTTGTATTCTTATGAATGCAGACCTGGAAGGTCTGGAGGCTCAGGGCGATTCAGAGCATCCGCCAGATATTGACTGCTTCTTATTTCCTCCACAGCAGCCAGCCTGAAACAATGAGAGCAGCTAACTGTCCACCATCGATGCTATTAAAGGGCCATTCGACTTGCTCTCTGACTTTTTTCATTTGCCTCTTTGAACACCAGCTGCATTTCATTTCTTTTAATTTGGTAGGAAGTTGTTTGCTTTGGCTTTGGCTGATCTGCTCATTCCTTCCTTTTTGACGCTTCAATGTCACTCAAAGCAACAAGAAAAAGAGGCAGAAAGCTGCTTTTGTGCCGGACCTTATTGTTCTGTTTGAGACTCAACTTTACTTTGATTTTAAGAGTAAAGAATTGGCAACCCTTGCTGTCTTCCGTCCCGCTGTTTTTGAAAATTTATTTCTGAGCAAAAACCAAATCTTTTGAAGCTCCTTCTCATGTTTACCAGCACAGACACAGGAGAGGAGTTAAGTGCTCGGATCCTCCATCCACACAGCAGTTATTCTCCAACAGTGGAGAGTAAAATACATCCATTTATTGCCACGTAATGCAAGATTGCAGTTTTATGAATACAAGGGGGATTTTAATAATGTATCCTCTTGTTACTGTGTTTCATCAGTTGGGAGGAATGAGCCAATAGCTGCTGCCTGCTTTAAATCAATCAAACATGACGATTCCCACAGCGAGCAGCCTTAAACTTACCTCACCTGAAATCACTTTATCTTAAACTTGTGTTAAGACACCGACGTCCCGTCCAACCAGCTCGTTACTTTTAATGAGTCCCACCTTTTTAGTCACTAACACCTCAGGTGTTGTTTGCAAATGCCGGTAAAGTTTGACGCCATCAAAATAGCAGCTGCTACAGCAGAGTCACTAAACCTGTCGGATGACAGGTTATTAAAACGTTGCCACCTGTGAGTTCACGACACTCCGTTCACAGAATACAGATCCCTTTTAATTGGCTAGTGTGAACAAAAACAACATAATATAATATAATATAATACCTGCACTGTGAGACAGTGAACCTGCATCATCCAGGATTGGCTTAACCGGACCTGGTAGTTGAAAACTCATTTCACTTTTAAGCTGATTTGTCCTCCAGCGCCGCTTAAGCACAGCCGGCTCTCAGACATGTGGTTGTCAAGGGACAGACCGTCTCTCGCTCATTTGGCGATGCAGGAAGCACGAACCGATCTCGACGCGACCGTGCGGGCTCAGACTCCGGGGAGTTGTTATTTTCTGGTCTGTAGATTCTGTCACAGCTGACAGAGCTACATGGGTAGCTCTGGAGAAAAGATGCGTCGTTGTGAGAAAGAATAAATAGTGTGGCTATACCAGCTACCAACAGGCGTAGAAAGATGTGCGTGTGTTTTATGTTGATGCGAGGCAAGCACTGCATCTATTACACTATTCTATTATTATTGAAGCATCAGTGACAGCTACTGCAGAAGATCAGCAGCTGACTCCTGATTTTAGTAAAAGCAGGCAAACACTATGTTTAAGTGGGCTGCTCGCCTTCAGGGATGCTCTGTAATTGAACTGAGTTCAATGCTGCACAAAACCATTTAACACACAGGTTTGAAACCATTCAACCAATGTGTTATTGACTGCAGCCACTCACAGCACAGTGGGTTTGTTGTGTGATGCCTGTCTCGTGCTCCACTGTTCTGAACAGTCTGTACGGTATATCAAGGCAATGAAGCCTGCTTGTTGCAATTACTCATTTGGATGCACTGTATTCCAGTGAAGACATGTCAACACATGCTCTGAATTCCAAAGGTTATGGGATGTGCAATACACATCCAACTGGCAAAGATGCTCACGTTCATGGAGTATAGGAGGCAGAGGCATGTAGATGGAGATTCATAAAAAGCAGTGTTTGTTATGGAAGTCCAATGTATGCAATATCACATGTTAAAGAAATGATCATGAATAAATGCACACATAAAATATACAATATTACCAAAACATTACCAAACAATATTATGAAATGTTGCTTTGGTCTAAATGAGCTGACAGTCACATAACTTTTTGTTTTTTGTGATTATATATTTCATTATCTAGTTCATAATGTCTTATTTATTTGTTAATTAAAAGGTGCTCAAGACGGAATTGAAGAGCATATGTATTGCCTCCACATGGCTAACAACTAGCTGCTAATGGTGCAACAGCGCTGACAGAGCTAACAGTGTTAACCTGAGGGGAAACTGGAGGGTGGGCGCTTGTAATATGATATATATATATATACACTTTGAGTTTCCATACTTACTTTTTAAGGTTCAGTAATTGCAGTAGCTTTCTTAAATAGCACAAGGGGTGCCGAATGTGTGTACAAAGTACTCTGTGTTAAATACAGTATATAACTACTATTCTTGGTGACCATTGCATCTCTTCATTGAGCCTCTGAATCCATATAGAAGTTTCTACAGTCTTAATAATAAACATCCAACTGAACAGACCTTTTTAACAGATCTTTTTCTGAGATGTGGTCAGTGATTCAGAGGTATTGACCCAGATTATAAAGTCTCCCTGATGGGCTGAAAGTTATTCTACTTCATCACATGCTGTTTGTGCAGCAGCAACAACAAAAAAAGGCTGTTTCTGTGCCGGACCTTTTTATTGTACTGTTTGGGATTCAACTGAACTTTGGTTTTAGGAGTAAAGAATTGACAACACTTAGTGAACTTTTCTTTCCTCCACCCTGCTGTCTTCCTTTTATATCTGTGCAGAAACCAAAAGTTCCTTCTCCTTCTTTTACCAGTAAAGTTCAAGACACGGGAGAGAAGATGTGTGCTCGTAATCTCCGTCCACAGCCAGCCAACAAATATGCCCCAACAGTGAAGAGAACAATACATTGTTGAATTGAATTGTTCTATTTATGTTCAGGACATTTGTGTTGGAGTTGTGTGAATACGAGGTGATTCAATGACATACACTCCGGCTACTCTGTTGTATCAGTTTCAAGCTGGAACCTATTGGGAGGAATGAGCCAATAGCTGCTGCCTGCTTGAAAATCAATCAAGTATGATGATTCCCACATCGAGCAGCCAGTCATGAAGGATATAAAGACATGATTGGCTTCATGGCTTCCCGAAGGACTCTGCTAATCAAAGGCGGAATTATTTCAATGCTGTCTGGGGGGGAGGGGGACACACACATCCACAGCTCGCCTACATTACAATCACAACCCTGCAGTCCTCCCTTGAGCCATTGTTACATTTTAATAAGCCCGCAGCCACGCTGTAAGAAAGATGCCATTTAGCCTCTCTGTTTGAGTGTGACATGTTTTGAGATTGAATCATTTTCACAGGCGGATATAAACAAAACAATTGACCAGAATTCAGCCCCGCGGACAGCGAGCACACAAAAAGAGGTTGATGGAAACCGTTGATGGCAACGATAGAATGGAAATACCAGTTCCCTAAATAGCAAATCTCATCCATCAAAAAGTACAACAATCAAAAAGCTATTCCCGCTGCATTACATCGGAGCTTTTGTCAAGGTTGTGCTCCTGCATTTGCTAAGCCTTCAGCAAGTCTGCTTATACACGTAAGCCGTTAATTACCATCAAATACCCTTCACTTCTGTTTCATCACACAATGGAAACGGTCCTCTTTGGTCTTTCGTCCAGCTTAAAACAACCTGTTATTACAACTTAAATATAGGTTTACCATATAGACGGCTCATCAGAATAACTGCTGCTGTCTCAATACGAACGGCTCTGCAGTGCATTGAGTGCATTAAAGTGAGGCGTTTCACTCTGTAAGGTGGAAAAGTTAAATGGACTACCAAATGTACGTAGAAATGGGGCAAGCCATTCTGTCCCGTGGAGAAGAGCTTTCAGAAGCACAACAACATGATTGTCCTTTTTAAAGCACATTTGTGGGCTTATAATTGGCTACTTATGTATGAAGTGTTGTGGTGCAAGTTACTTGTGGTGTAAACTAAAGGGTTCCAGAGTCACTTGAATTCCCTAAACTTCCAGGGCTGTAGACTCCCTCAGCAGTCCTCCAGAAGATGAGCAACTAAAAACATGATCTTGCTCTTTCATTAAAAACTCAGAAGTTGGTGAAAAGACTTTGAATAGATTAGAAAAGTCAACTGTGAGTGCCAAGGAGCGTTTAAAAAACAAATGTCCAAACAAATGGATATTTGTCAAATGTCAGCTACCAAAATTATAGATATTATGAAAAAGATCATTTTAAATTGTTATTTTCATTTGGAATGAAGTATCGCTGTAATCAGTGGCTTTTCTCCCACTGATGACTATTTCCTAAACACGACAGTACTATTTACAACACAATGATACAATGACCGAATTGGCACCATTTAATGAATGAACGTCAAAGCTTTTAATATTATAAAAAATGTAAAACATTTCTAAGTAGCCTACAATGTGGCTAATGTTAGCCAGGTAAGCTAGTTAGCACCACTGTCAGTTTGCTCAGAGATGTAATACTTTACGTGAAACCTGTGAGGTGTGTTAGCATTAGCTTTCACTGCTAGCTGGATCATTGTGGCTCAAGCTACAAGCTTCAGACATGTTGTAGACTCTAAGTGTAAAAATGTGATAATTTTAGGAAGCAATACTTGAAGGGGTTAATGCTCAGCCTCACGTTTATCTCTGAAGTCAGCGGTAGGATTAAGATTTAGTCACAGAATCTGCTAATGTTAGCTGCACGGTCGCTACCAACAGAAGGCAATATGAGGGGGATGCTATCCAAAATGACCAAAACTCATCCCCCCTTTTTAACCTTCTATCCATTTAGTTGAATATATTGGTCTCCTCCGCCTGACTCATTGAGGATTCATCTGATGGAGGTTTGATATCATCTATGGCCCCGACCACGGCTCTGAAATGTAGTCTTCTGCGGGCGCAGACTGTGATTCCAGCAGCACGTTTAAGTAGCTGTGCTGTGTATTGATCAATCTGTGGTGCTGGCCGTGGTGCTGAAACAGCAGATGGTTTGAAATTGAGAAGTCGCCTACTAGCTACCACATACAGGAGATAAAATCCATGTGGTACTGATGAAATCTATGCTTTACCTACCTCCATTTATTGTCTTTTTTTATGAATTCAACTAACCCTTGTTTTCCTTCATATATATCTGGGAACATACTGCATATCTACAGAAAGAAGGAAGAGCTGTGTATTGTTATTCAGAACAGCCAGAGACATTCATCGGGACAATAGACAAAGGTTATAATAGATGGTTTGTGTGGGTTGAAATCCTCCTGCTGGCTGCAGGTTCATGAGGTGTTTGTTGTCTCATCTAAAGCGGCAATCTCAAATATTTTCTTTGAAATAAATGTCTGACAATCTATCACCGAAAGAATGAACACAATCAGAATCAGTATCAGAATCAGAACCATTTATTGCCAAGGAAGTTTGCACCTACAAGGAATTTGTCGTGGCGGGTGGTGCGTAACATTTAACAATAAACAATAACATTAAACTATCAGCAATCAACACAGTGCAAGAAATAGAAACATATTAAAATTTACAATAAAGAATAAAATATAAAATAAAGTGCACAACAAAACAGATACCAGGACTGTAAAACAAGTGAAGTGTAAGTGAAATGTTAAAAGTGACGAGAGTGTTTAAATAAAGAAACAGGGATGTGCAGAGGAGAGACCAGAAGGAAATGTCCTGGGGATGTCAGAGTCAGTGGGGGACCCGGGCTTTGTTAATGAGCCTGACTGCGGACGGGAAGAAACTGTTTGTGTGGCGTGAGGTCTTGGTTCCGATGGACCGCAGCCTCCTGCCAGATGGAAGGGGCACAAACAAATCATGTCCAGGGTGAGAGGGGTCGGCTACAATCTTTTGTGCTCGCTTCAGGGTCCTTGAAGCGAACAAGTCCTGGAGGGACGGCAGATTGCAACCAATCACCCTCTCAGCAGAGCGAATGATGCACTGTAGTCTGCCCTTGTCCTTGGCTTGTCCTTGTCCACAATGGTGACTCAACCTATGGCCCACTGCTGTAAGTATTGAAATATTTATATATTTGCAGTTTTACAAACTGGGTGTCTGAGGCTACATTCACAGAGAAGATAAAATGCTGTCGCATGGAATTTCAGACACAACCCCGAACTCCAGACAGCTAAACTTTAAGCACCATTCCTTTGTTTTCACTCAAATAGAAATTGTAATTCACTAAGGATTGCCACTTTAAAGCCTCTGTGTTGTTCTGGTCTGGGCGGTACGAGTGGCAGACGCTGCATCCACACCTCACATTTGTGCAACTTTCAATGACATGTTTGTTTATCTCTGAGCCTGTTCCTGAGATAAGAGTTGATCCCTCAACATCTTGTTCAATATCATTGTAATCCCACCTTATTGACCCGACCTGCCAGATCCGACCACCGCATTCGATTTTAATAGAAATGAGAGGAATAATCCAATATTTGTGCATTCACATGAGCCCTCTGGTCATATTCAGAGGGAAAGGTAGTGTTTGATGAAACCAGAGAATAAATGTACCTTATTCATCCATATTGCTGACAGCCGACATCATCTCTTCTGTTGGATTGACTTGCAGTGCTATTGGGGCTTTAATGGAAAAAAGTCTGTCAGCATGTAATCTGTGTCTCTTTTCATATTGCTCTCTTTTCTCCGACGGACCTTCGTCTTTTTCTTTAAAATCCCCTTCAATACAATATTTGATCGTTTTTTTCTCATTCTCTTTCCAACTTCTGCTTCCTTCTATAAAACCACAAGTCTGCATTTCAAACATTTCACCTCCTGTATTTCAGTCGGGTCTTTTTGCCAACACGAAACCGGCTGATTAGAGGACCAATTGGTTTCAGGACGTTTTAATTAAGACGGAAATCCCAGGAAATCGCACGCTCTTCACAAAATAGACGTTTTTACAGAGTAATCAATGAAAAAAGATTCACCCGTTCTGGTGTAGATGCAAGGACGACAACGTTCCACTGAAAAGTGCACCAACTAATCCCCTTCTAAACAACTTCAGTATGAATTTAATTTCTTGTTGGTTTTTATTTTCAGTGCCAGTTTGTTTCAACATGAATTCTCTTATTGTGTAACAAACAGACCAGTCTGAACTTTAAATTCAAACCCAAAACTCTGGAGAGAGGAAGCATCCATTCATTCAAGAAGCTCAATCAGACTGAGAAATGATAAAAAGATGGTTTGGATGTTTACGATCAATGAATTTATGTTGATGCAGCGCTCACCTCTAACTTCCCAGGCTGTCAACCAGGCATCAGCTTGCTGAAACTGAATGTATATTAGCCAGTTTAAGTCAGCTATATTTTGAGTAATTAAGATGAACGATCAAGTACGAAGGACTCCTAACCTGAGAAAGCAACGGTGGTGAACTCCCACATCAAGATATCACCGAACTCTGTCTTATGTCATTGTTTTGATTGAGAGGACCCCAAGTGGTAGACAATTACTTATCGCGTTCAAATCCGATCATGAGGAATCATCTATCATGTCAACATTCGAACAGTTTTCTTGATTTAACAGAAGTCAGTTTGACCTGAATTTCTTTCCAGTAACCTTCATCCTCTCTCCTGCTGTGCTTCAGGTTACGCTCCGGTCACAGGAATGTGCCACCCGGTCCGGAGCTGCACCCTCAACCACGAAGACGGCTTCTCCTCGGCCTTCGTCGTGGCTCACGAGACCGGACACGTGTAGGTTTTTATTTTACATTTGTCCTTCTTTGTCTTTACTCCTCTTTCCGAGGTGACACTGTGTTGTGATGTGAGCGAAGACAATGCCCTTCTGCAGAACGCCAGACTCTCACATGTTCAGTGTGAACGTCTTTCCTGGGCTTTGTGTCCCCCGTGATCTCTATGCTAACTGACATGGCAGACCTTTAAGCGGCATGGCCTTTGGCAGTGAATATGTGGTTCTTCATTGAATATCGAGCACAAGTCCAAACACAAAAGCGCTCGGCCTCTGTTTGTCATCATGTTCACCCTTTTGCTTTTTCCACCCATGAATACGGCTCAAACGTAGTCCACACTTCCTGCAACCTATTTCATCTGCAGCACAGATCACAACACTGGGTTTCTTACAATTACACACACACACAAACATAAAGACACTAAACAATGGAAAACACTGCTTGGAAAATCGTTGAAGCCTGCCAACCCCCGAATCCTGCGGGAAAGCAAATCTTGAAAAACATGCAGATAAAACTTGCCCCGCTCCGCTCATTAATGTGAGACAGTAGAAGCTAAGAGACAGATTATGGGTTACTCATGGAGAGATTAATAGAGGCCGCATCACTCTTTGCTGCCATAGTTCTCTAAATTCACTCGCCACCATTTCATTATGACAGAACAACACCTCATTATCAGTGTGAAAAGGACACGCTGTCCTACTTCCTGCCAACAGTCCCACAAAGCAATTGTTGCATTTAATAGACGAGTGTCTATTATATATAAGTAGTAAATCTGTGATACAGCCTAAGTCTAGAGTCCTGTTACTAGGCAGCCCATTAAAGCAAACAAAAAAACTGATTACTAAGATAATTAATGCTAAAATTTGCATATAGTAGACTAAGTAATACATTACATATGCCAGGATAGAACTGTGCATGGAGACTTTGGTGTATTAAGAGCTAGAAACTGTGTGGAGTGTCAGCTTTGCTGCCAGTTTGTCCTTGTGGTGAACTGCTGCCTAAAATGCATTTTCCCCAAATACTGCCGAGTCTGTAAAACTGGACAGCCCCAACTGCAGAATGAGTCCTCATTACTCTTGTTGTTAATAGCCTTAGTATATTCGTATTGATATTTGCAGGCCCTCCATCTGGCTGAGACGTAAAGGAGCATCTCTTCCTTTATAAAAAACTAATACCAATACATTTAAAACAACACGTTATTATTGACTGCAAAGAGCGGTGACTAAATGAGATTGGGGCTCATAATTTGCTCTTTACTTCCAACATCTCAACGTATAAAATGTTCCAGCAGATTCAAACACCGTCTGTGTGGCGTAACTGACAGGACGACAAACACAAGCTTTTATCTGCCGCTCTTTTCCTTTTGAGCTCGTTGGAATTGAAATGACCTGAAAAGGTGAGCAGGACGGCGGCGTAGAGAAAAGAAAAGCCGTCCTACAGCAGCAGCTGTTTCACAGAGTCAACCAGCTGAGACGTTCGAGGATCCGTCCTGCTGAGATGTCCCCGAGCGACACGCACCATATCCTCCAACTTCACGGCTGTTGCTCCGCGTCCGACCCTGGGGGCGAGTGAGCCGAGGGGTTTTATCTTCAGGCTTTTCTCTGGAGAACAACCAACGTGGGCTGTATGTCCTGAGACAGCAGATACACAAGAGGAAGCGTAACCAGTGAGTGTAATGCAAAGAGAGGCTTTCCTTTGTGGAAATGCTGAAGTGCCCTCTCATCACAACCATTGGCAGGTGCGCAGCCTGTGATTTTCTGTAGTTTGATTGATTTCTTCTCCCGCCCACATTCCAATGAGAGCCGCTCTGCGCTGCCTCTGATTGTCTCGTACTCGTTGCTTTGTTAAGATTCCTGCTGATGAATCAGATTGGTGGGAGGTTGGCAGGGTTAATGATTTCAACTTTCATAATGACAGCAGCCTTCTTGTAAAGTGCTCTTATTTATAATTACAATTCCCTGATTACGGGAGAAAAATTAGTGTTTTTGTTATGTTGCTGTGCATGCTGCCTATTTGGATGTAATACAATTACAGCTTTGTTGGTAATTCACATTTTGATGTGGGGTCAAAATGTTAACCTCAACGCTGACACATAATGATAAGTGGCTGCATGAGGAAAAAAGATCCAGTGAAGATTGTACCGGAATGTATATTTGCGGATGATTTTGATCACAGATATGATTGTATTTGGTATTCTTACGAAATAATCAGTGTTCTTTTCACAGTATTTGGTATTCTGTATATATACATATATATATAATTCACACATAGATGCACCGATAATTAAAACTACTAATGCCAAGATACATTTTTCTCTGATCAAAGCAAGGATATGAATAAACATACAGTACATCATTTATTTCTTAATGATTTGAATTCTTTATTTTCAGCTTTCGGTCTAAAGGACCTTCATCAGGACCGAAAACTAAAAATAAAGTCTTCTCTGCATATATTGAAGTGTGCGGATATTTATTCTACCAGTTTCAGCTTCTTGATATTCAAGATGAAGCCGGGTGACGCGGTGGTTATCCTGCTTTTATTGGTTTTAACTGTTTTTATGCGAATAAACAGTAAAGCTGACAATAACAAATCTAAAGGATAACTTATTGAATTTCAAGATGTGACCATAGATCAGAGGAAGAGTAAATGCTTCAGGTGTGACTTGATTGGCATCACAGTAAAGAATGAAATACTGTCTGGGTTTATATATATATATATATATATATATATCTTATTTTTATGTAGATATGAAGGGATCATTCTAAGCTAACGAAAACACAACGAGTCTTAGTTTCAGGTGATTATACACTAACGGAAACATAGTATTTAATATATTCTATGTCTGCCATTGACTCCCCCTATATCCCACACACTGGTCCTTTACAGTGTATCAGTGTTGATAATATAACTAGAGAGGGATTGTCTGCTTCTACATATCGAGAAGGCTTTAGTGAAACGACTACAGTAAAACATAAACAACAACAAGTTTAAAATTATGTTACAAACTCAAACGCTGTGGTTTTGCATTTAACAATATTTTTAATTTTAATGTCAAACTAATTTAAGTATACAAAGCAATATTGTCTCCAAACTCCAAAAAGCACATTTAGTTTTTTGCTGTAAGCACATTCAGCCGGGGACAGTTGACGCACTGAATCCAGTCGGCTTTTGCAGATGTAAAGAGGAGAGACATTTTCATAAAGCGGATACCAGAGCTGAAGAAGTCAACATGTCGTGCATTTCTAAAAATAACACTGGAACATACGGTATAGACGCCTCATCTGCTGACACAAATAATTATTGATGCTCACTGTGTGTTCCTTTCAGTCAGAGCCAGGACAGTACAGGATGTCCTTTATTAGGGCTGCATGATTATTTGAATTACTCATTGACCTTGGAAACGTCACGCATTTACTGGAGGAAGAACATTTTGTATCCTAAATGTATCATAACCCTGTTTATCCAGGATTCGTCATGTGTTTACAGTTGGGGAACAATATTGGCCGAAAATGTTGCGTTTCAACGTTAAGAAAAAGCGATGTATCTCCATCAAAACTCTGTAGTATTTTTCTCACAACATGCACAGCCTTATAGCGACGTGTGTGACAGGTGAGGCAGCTATCGGAAAGAACATAATGATGGATAGTGATTGCTGGAGCCCAAGAGAGCCACATGCAGTACAAACGCAGCAAACAAAGAGAAGAGCCCACCGTCTGTCCTCTTTATAAAACAATTCTTTGACGCTATTCAAGGCACTTAAATGTGAGTTATTTGGTATTAACAACAGTTTCATTATTGACTTTAAGTTCACAGAACAATAATTTCCGCTGGTTCCAATTCTTTTTTTTAACAAGTGCAGATATCAGTACTGTGCACATCTCTGTGAAGCAATTTATTCCTTTAAAGCGGAAAATCAAGAAACACACAGGAAATGTTCATTCATCCCACAGTTGGCCAGTATTGATCTCGGTTATGAATTCTGTTTCATAACAACATGTTTGAAGCATGAAAGTCCTCTCTTGACCTTTTGAAAAGCACAATCCTGACTCTAATCCACTAACTAGCTTTCTCTGAAACTTTACGAGACATCACTGTCGAAACGGAAGAAGAAGAAGAAGAATTTTAATCGGCTCGAAATACAAACGCAGGACATTAGACATGCTGTTGGAATGACGTTAAAGTGATGTTAAGCATACAATTTAATTTCTTACTTGGGGCACTTGTCAAACAATTTGAATATATTGTTATATTATCTTTATCTGGCAGGCTCCCATTAGGTAAGACCCGTCTTGTTAAGATTTACAACCAATCACAAATGACAACCAGTGTCCGTGACACCTGTTCGACTCCGGCTGGAGACATGTGTCCACTGTGTGCTCTCAATAAGGCCTCAAAATGTCCAAATGAATACTTTAAAAGAAGAGAAGAAAGAGGAATGTTTGCTGTTTTAGCCCTCAACAGTTTTTTCTGTTGGATTGTTAATCTTACTGTGAGTCAACCCGTTGGTAGCGAGGTAGGATTGATAGTCTTTTGGTGTGAGAATGTGTTGCTTGAGTCGGTGTTTGTAGTGAATTGGAAGAATAGAAGAGCGCTTTCTGGCCTGCACCTCACAATCCATAAACAGCTCAGAGATGCATCATTGAACTGTTTCAAAGAAGTTTTGCAGAAACAATTATTTCTCAAATAGATATCTGAATGTCATTTGTGGTTATTCATGCGTATTCAATTTTGCATGAGATCTGCAGCTTTGTAAATATCTGCTCGTCTCTCTATTGGAACAGGTTGGGAATGGAGCATGATGGCCAAGGCAACCGCTGCGGGGACGAAACGGCGATGGGAAGCGTGATGGCTCCTCTGGTGCAGGCGGCCTTCCACCGATACCACTGGTCCATGTGCAGCGGACAGGAGCTGAAGAGATACATCCAGTGAGTTCATGTCTGCAGTTAACAAACACTGTTTTATCACGCCATCCAAAAGAATAGGAATGCTGTTCCATTGGATCCATATCTGGCTTTATAGCAGCGTGAACGAATGAAGTTTAAAGAAATTAGGGCATATTTCATCTGAATCTGCTTAAAAATAAACCCAACATAGAGAATCATGCAGAATGGCTGCCATGATTATTTTTAGAGAATATCTGTATCCTCTCTGGATTCATAAGAACTTTGTAAAATAAACAAATGAGCGCGATCTATTCTTGAGACATGCAACGGACAAATTACAAATGTGGCCATGGAGGTTTGCTCCGTCAGCTGCACCAGAATCAATTTCTGACGGGGAGAGATCAGCAGTGTGTTGACACCAAACCACCAACAGGGAATCGATAGAGACGACAATGGCAACGTGCAATCAATCGCCATGCATTCTTTTTCCAGAGCAGCTCCCGGCTATTTGAAATGGAGCCATTTCGGAGAATAATCAATATGTGGTATGAAAAGTGCTCCTGCAGTATGATAATGACGGGCGATGAACGTGAAAGGCTTGGCGAGGCAACATGAAGTATGTACAATCATTTTGCACTTGCACATACGATTTGTCTTACCCTGAGTGGGGTTTAGCTGTGCCCCCTCGCCTTGAAATAAATAAAATTAAAATAAAGCCAGGCTGGGACTGACTGCAGCCGAGCCACCTGCCCACATGCAGCCTAATCCGTCCAAAAACTGAAATATAAGCGCAAAACTCGTATTAAAAGAAGAAATAACACAAGTTGTTACAGATTTTCAGTTGTAAAAGGGGTGCGTTTTCAAACCAGCGAGTGCAGGGTGCCTTGGAGCTGAAATGAAATGTCGAGCTAAGGTGTGCGTTACATCTGCTCTCTATTTTCATAACTTGGCTTTGTTTTGTTGGCTCGTTAATTAAGTGGTAAATGAAAGTGTGTGATGCAACGCAAAGCCCACGCAAGCTGAGGTAGGAACACACACTAAATACTCCAATCCAAGCCTTTAATGATGATGGAGTCTCACATGATTGAATGTAAAACCCATTAAGGGAGAAGTCCTGTCATTCAGCACTGTGCAGCTCTGAGTCTCCCATCGCTTCTGCTTTGTCAATCTTTAATTACTGTCTCAACTCCTCCTGCAGATGACTTACAATCAAAGCCTACAAGTCCTTTGAAAAGCTGGAAGGCTTTTATTATGAAACGTCTGGGCATCCAGAGGTGACTTTCACAAACTGTAGTGTTGCGCTGATCAAAAGAAAACGTCTACGGAGACGCAACTAGAGTGACTCTGTGAATGAAAACGCAATCTTTGTTGAAATAAGATCCACTACACTTTGAAAGCAGAGGAATTTGTGAAAAAGGTCCGTCTTCATCGTAAACTTAGCGCCTGGTTCTCGCAGCCACATTTAGACACATGTCCTCTTCAGGATATTGATTCTCTCGTCAGCGTCTGACGCCAGCATCAACCTCTTCTTTCACTCCCTCGCAGCACGTACGACTGTCTCCTGGATGACCCCTTCAAACACGACTGGCCACAGCTCCCCGAACTTCCTGGCATCAACTACTCGATGGATGAGCAGTGTCGATTCGACTTCGGTGTGGGCTATAAGATCTGCACCTCAGTGAGTACGGCCCTCGGGCTTCCATTCAGTGGATACTAGCTACTCTACCCGAAAATAAAACCTTTCTGTAAGTGAAAGTGAAGAGAGGGAAAAGATCCATTCACTCTCAGAGATCTAATGGAAATGCTACTTAAGAAGAGCAGAGACAGAAACAACAGCAGGAGAGGATGACGGCAGCTGTCCAACTTACAGGCTTTTAAATATCAGCAAACAAAGTCACACAAGCAGGATCCGATGCCGCACTAGTGAGCACCTCTAACGCACATCTGCTTTAGCGCAGTCACACCTGCTATGCTGCTCGTTCTCTGCAGATGGCAGGATGATGAGAACTTCACATCACTTTGATCCACACTTATAATTGATGTCACATTTCTATGTGGTAGTGATGCTAATTAGAGACATGAATCTAACAGATGTATAAAAAAACTAGATTTATCCCCCTGCAAAAAAACACAGGAACATATAATTAACCAATATATATATATATATAATTTGCTCTTTTTTGTTTTTCAAGGATTTCTTTCATCAAAATATGTTCAGATGAGGATTAGTTTAACGCTGAACAGCTGAAAATTAAAGTGGTAGAAGGAGTTCTTAATCTTGGACTTGAAATGAACGGGTAACTGAGCACAAGCTGCAAAAGTGAGTTTAAAAAGTTTGAAATCGCAGCACCTGATGTGACATTGATTTGATGGCGAAGTTGATCCATCAAGTCACGCAGGGAACATCGCGCCCTCTCAACAAAACTCTTTCTGTCAAAAGAAAACTCAAAACGTGCAGGGGATGAGTCATCCTGCATTGAGGTTTTTCGGGGAGAATGTGTGTATTGTGAGGACTGAGCAGAGCCACCAGTGGATTCTGACTGAGGTCTCCACTCGATGACTAAGCTCTTCCATTTAATTCAAGGTTCAAATGTCTTGGGTATCTGGCCTCACAAGGGACGACGGCCGCATCGTTTGATTTCAACACATAAAAGAATCGGGAGGTCAGCCGGCTCCGTCTGAGCTTAAATGAAGTCCGGCTGTAGCTTTCAGTTCATTCACACAGTTTCTGTCCCAGTTTGCTCTTTGCAAATAACTCTGAAGGAAAGTGTTCGGTTCTTAGTATAAGTGGTGTCTCAAGAGTAATTAACACGTTTTGAGACAACGAAACAATTAACTTTGTGAACTAAAGACACACTGGTGAAGGATTAAAACTGTAAGACGAAAACACAGACAACACCGTGGTAGCGAGGTAGCCCCGCCCTAAAACATACGTTATTGTCTGTTTTACCTTAATTTACTAAATGAACATCATGCTGTATTGAAGAAGACTTGAAACTAGAGATTGAGACCATAAACTCATGTTTACAATGTTTACTGAGGTAATAAATCAAGAGAGAAGTAGAGTCATTTTCTCATAGACTTCTATACAACCAGAGGAGTCGCCCCCTGGTGGCCATTAGAGAGAACAGACGTTTAAAGCTCTTCAGCGTTTGCTTCACTTTTCAGACCCGGAGGTTGACGCCTGCTAGGAAATGAATCAGGTTTTCTTCAGCACCTCAGGATTTGATTACATGTAGGCTGTAATCTGTATCCAGAGCCATTACCAGCAGTAGAGGAGTATTAAGATGTTACAAAAGCTGCAATAATCATTTTTTTTATATTATATATATATATATACACAATCAAATGGCTGTACTTGTACTGTATGTGGATCCGACCCTGTTGTTCATTTCTCAGAGCATTTCAGAGTCTTCCAGCTCATGAGAGATAAGACGTATATGATTATGTGCCTGAACTACCACAATGCTCCATCCTTACCAGATAAGAATGCTGGACAGCTGGTCCGTTGTTTCCCGTCCATCGTCCGTTTATAGATATTTGTTAAAAATATTCCATGTAAGTGAAACGTTATGATCAGAGATTCATGATGTGTGTCACTTGATAAAGTAGGATCATTGTGCTCCCTTCGCTGAGGCAGGCAAGCACCAGAAAACCCCCAAAAGCAGTGGGAAATCCCTCCATCACAGAAATGATCACTATATTGAGTTTACCCAAGTGGTAAACGCTGGCAGTCACACAGCTCATTTTGAATTTGAGTGCTGGCAAAGTATACCGATGAGGGAGAAGCCCTGAACTGATTTACATTCAAAGATGAAGCTGTTCGCTCTCCGGCTGCAGTGCTCTCAGGTGACACCAGTTTTTAACACTAACCCGGTGACACTGGCACTCTGCTCGGATCTTATTGACTATATTTTGCTTAGATGTTGAATTCCGTGCAGAGCTTCAGGAATTTGCCCCTGCGGGGATAATTATTGGCTCCAGGATATGCGGCCTTATGGAAGCAGAGCTCATGTATTCAGATGTCATATTGTTTTGGGTACAAATCGTCTGGCTGCCAACTGAAAGTCAATGACTAGAGTCATCTGCTTATTTATTTTTTACTTTGTGCTCTAGTTAACAACGTAACCACAAACCCATGACTTGTTTTAGGAAGGAAAAGACATTTAAACCAAGAGCAAGACTCCATGACTTGCAGTGTGACTGCGAAGTATTCATTCATGTTGTTCTTTTGATTTCACATTTATCAAACAGGTTTCTTAGATGAGATTAGAGACCCACAATGACGTGTCAAAGATTAAAGAATAACAACCGCTTTCACTTCCGTGAACCAAAATACACCACAATCATTTTCTTTTGTTCTTTACTCCGGAGCAATAGTCTCCTTGTAGCATCAGCAGTTTGTGAACAATAAGGTCGGCCTCCCTAGTTAGCACCGAGTGACCCACATTTACCAGACTGCTGCTGAAAAGCAAAGCAAATGTCAGGGCTGCTGTAGGAGTAACGCTGTGCAGCCATTGTGTGTATCTGAGCCCGGTGGATTCCCTTTGTGTCACAAGCTGAACCGCTCTTTCGTTGGTATGTTTGTTGAGGAAAATAAAAAAAGCCTCTCGATCCGGCTAATTGTCTTCTGCAAACAAAGAGACACTCGCCCGAGCAACCGAACAGGATCTGAGACGGAGACGTGGCTGCGGCCGACGCGTTCAGAGAGTTGATCCCTGCAGGATTCAGATGTTCAAGTGTTTCAGAGCGGTCTGTCGAGTCGTATTAAGTGGGATGGACAGAGGAAGCGGTTCTTCATCAGTGACCCCTATCATGGTGATGCGAGCGCCTCATTTGTTGATGATTAACGGTCTGAAGTCCCACCATTCACCACAACGTAGTTACCATAAATATCATCCTTCTGTTAAGTAATCCATACAGTGAGAGGAACAGAACAGTTTCCAGCTGATGCAGCAATGAGTCTCATGTTCCTTGCCGGTCACATGAACACACATGTGATGATAGTTTTACATCGACACACGGCGACACAGACGGTGAAATAATAAGAAGGGAGAGAATAGTTACACGCAGAGAGCGGAAATAAGCACAGCAATAAAACAAAACTATATACTTGTTCAGCAATTTTAATGCCTAGAGCACATTACTAAAATCAAAGTTTTTGGAAAAATAAGGATATCTTAAAGGTATGGATTCAATAAAAGTAATGACATAATGATACTCTCTCTTCTTTAAGTGTAGAAGAGTAAAATCTGCAGCTTGAACAAGCTGCAGATGAGAAGGAGCTTACCGGAGATGCAGGTTTATAGAAACAGGTCACAGAGGTAATTTCAGGGCTCATGTTGTTCACAAAGCCTCTCGGTGTATAGCGATGCTCCGGGCAGCTGAAATGCCCATTTTTGAGTTCTCTCTGTCAGTCTGATCTGCTCAAATCCGTATATAAAAAAAGGGTAAAAAAAGCATCTCACCACTTACCATGAAGAGGTTAACAATAAGCTGTTCCCTAGAAAACCTTCGTAATCCTCTCGGCTTTAGTGGCTGATGTCTGGGGAATACTTAAACACCTTTTTTTGTGAATCTGACTCTTATTTATGACGTCATCACATCCCTTTTTTTGTGTTTTATTTGCATCAAACCCGTTCTGAGCCTTCATTGAATCCAAATGTGTCTTTGAAATCAGTGATGAAACACGACGGCCCACAATATATGAAAACTAAATCCGACAAATGTCCATATCTGCCTTTCAGCTGTTCAGGATTATGAATCGCAATGTGAGCAGGGAAGCTATATTCCATTGTCATTCGTAGTATCTACGTTACAAACATGATTTTCTTTTCTGTGTTTCAGTTTCGTACCTTTGACCCGTGCAAACAGCTGTGGTGCAGCCACCCGGACAACCCGTACTTTTGCAAAACCAAGAAGGGGCCGCCTCTGGACGGGACGGAGTGTGCTCCTGGAAAAGTAAGTTACATTATATGACAAGGCCAGAAGTATGTGGACACTTTATTTAGAATAAACTGAAAATAAGAAACTTAAAACCTGAAAGAAACTGCCTCAGACCAAAGGTACAGGCACACTCCTGTCATCCGTTTGACTTCATTCTGATATTTCTGTGTTTGGCTGACCTTTCCTCTCTCCTGTCATCCTCTGTAGTGGTGCTACAAAGGTCACTGCATGTGGAAAAACCCTAATCAGGTCAAGCAAGACGGCGCCTGGGGTTCCTGGAGCAAATATGGCTCCTGCTCGCGCTCATGTGGGACTGGAGTTCGCTTTAGGACGCGTCAGTGCAACAACCCGGCGTGAGTGGCAAATGCAGCAATAACACTATTTGATTCTGGGAGGCTTCATGCATGAATGTAGAAATAATGGAGGATGCTGATATCCAGTGCCAGCTATAATTGGATGATTTGACTTTATAACTGTATAATTGTATAACCTGAGTATGAAACCCGTATGATATGAGAATCAAAATGCAGTGCGAGGTAGACATTTGTAAGCCATGACAAACTCAGAGGGCTCCAAAGAGGCTGAAGATTAAAATGTGACCCCTCATTTTCCGAAAAGTTTCTTAGCATCCTTTTTCAAGCAGGATTCGTTTTGTCATTCTGAGTTTCTAAGAAATACTCACCGTCTGATCAGCTCTGACGTTCATCCATTTCTCCCCTCCAGGCCCTCCAACGGGGGCCAGGACTGCCCGGGAGTGAACTACGAGTATCAGCTGTGCAACACCGACGACTGCCCCAAGCACTTCGAAGACTTCCGAGCCCAGCAGTGCCAGCTCCGCAACTCCCACTTTGAGTTCCAAAATGCCAAACACCATTGGCTGCCCTACGAGCATCCCGACAGTAAGCCAGAAAGATGTCAACAGATTGTTTTGTTCCGGCGTTTGTCCCAAAACGGAACAATGAAAGTCAACATGTGGACCAGAACTTGTTCAATTGTGTTGTGTGTCTGCTTTTCTTTCTTGTGTTCAGTTTCTGTATTCTCTTCCCTTTGCCCTCTTGTTTCCTTGTTTTGGTCTCTCCCATCACTGCACCAGCATGCAGAGTTTAACACCATCCAAGCTCAAAATGTGCCCTCTCTGTAGGGTGATGGATATCTGCAGTGCGGGTACTAAACTTCACTGCTCTTTATCGGTGTGCGGCTTCGCTCCATGGAGCTGTTTTGCCCTTCATTGCCCCTAAATTGGTCTGAGTTTTCAGTCAGTCACGTAGAAAAGAAGTAGGAAAACCTACTGAGAAGCTGCAGGGAGGTGAGACGGTGAAGTGGGAGCCCATTGTTTTTTGAAAGGTAAAGAGCTTTTCTAAAGAGCGTCGTGCATTTTGGTACGTCAAACTAAATATCCGCCCCGGGCGCTGTGTGGATGTGGGGGGGGGGTCGCGTCAGGAAGTTCATCCGGCGTAAAACATATGCCAAATCAAAGATGCTGATCATAAAACTCAGATATTTCCATATCGGATCAGTCGAGGCCAACTAGATGGAAATAGATGATCCACTGTGGTGACCCTCAACGGGAACAGCTGAAAGAAGAAGAAGAAGAAGAAGAAGAAGAAGAAGAAGAAGAAGAAGAAGAAGTGCATTTTGGTACAATAAAAGAGTCCATGTGGTTTTATACAAGCTCATATTTATGAGAGTGAACTCATATACGTCTTAGATTGGTGCCTGTGCACAAATTACTTTAGTGGGCTTCATTATTATTTTCACATTAATATTCAATGAGATTTTAAAAGGTTTTCATAACATTCTTGTTTTTCCAAGTTGGATTTTCTTCCTAATAATTCCACTAATAACAATCCAATAATCTGCTGTGTTGCAGCCAACAAGAGATGCCACTTGTACTGCCAATCAAAGGAGACCGGAGACATGGCGTACCTGAAGCAGCTGGTGCATGATGGGACGCGATGCTCCTACAAAGATGCCTACAGTATCTGCGTGCGCGGAGAATGTGTGGTAAGGTGTTCAAACTACATGATTTTGACATATTAAAAGCAGATGCAGGCTGTTTGAATATCGACAGCTTTAAATTACACCGTGTGATGTTACAAAACTGCACAATCAGTTACAGGTTCAACTGTGAACGTGCTGTGATTAGAGCCACGGTGCTGTTTTAGAAGAAGCATTACAATGATATAGTATGCAGAATGTCCCATTACAGATTCAATATTTATTATATTATTGTATTATAATTATTGATACAAGCATCGCTTTAATGTTGCAGCTGGTAAAGGTGGAGCTAATCTTAAAATACTTTATAAACTGCTGGATAGCTTCATCTATGATAACACATCGTCATTTGTATTGATAATCTGATTCTAAAAGTAACTTCAGCTGTACATTTATAATGTAGTGAATGTATAAAGTAGCACAACTTGTCTCAAGTTAAGTAAAACTTCTTCAAAACATCAGTGCAGTCCCTGAGTAAATGTAATTAAGTTCATTTCCACCATTGAAAGAACCTCATAAACGCCCACATGCTGTCGCTATTGAAACAGGATCTGTGATTAGTTTGCTGGCCCGCAGTCAAACCGATTAATTACAATCTGTCACCAGTGTGCTCACATCACGTTGTCTCAAGTCGGCATTCCGATAGCTACTGACGCCTTAAGAGGAAACACCTGACGGGTGGGCTTCTCGTTAAAACCACGTAGTGAATCGTACATTTCCAAGACCGAATAGAATCTCAGCTCATCTGTCTGATTGTTCACTTGGTCTCCAGAAAGTCGGCTGCGACCGAGAGATCGGCTCCAACAAAGTTGAGGACAAATGTGGCGTTTGCGGCGGGGACAACTCCCACTGTCGCACCGTCAAAGGGAGCTTCACCCGAACGCCAAAGAAACCTGGTAAGAACACATTGAACCGGTATGAACACGACGCCTGCAGACAGAACTCTTTTAAAACACAAAGAATATCATGTTTTTATACCAACGATTCTTCCCTGTTTCATCCCCTGCATGTTTTCTCTACTGCAGATAATGAATGTTTCTTATCCATGATGCACAATGAGCGAGTGATCAACCTTGATAAGACATAAACATACTGCACTGTTGTTTATACATCATATATAAATCATCGCACGGCTCTCAACATGTCGGCCCTCCCTTGACCCAGGGCCCTGGACAACTGAACCAGTGTCCTTTGGCAGCCGTGGGCGCTTATTCGTGAAGAGCGATGGCCATGAGCTCGCCGGTGCGGCCCGCTCACATGCACCACCAATTTATCTTTGCATAGCAAATAGTTGCTGGTCTAGCAATGCTCTGAATTTTAAATAGAGAACCTTCAAGGAAACACTGAACAATAAGTGCAAGGTTTTAGGAAATGAAATGTGGAGCGGAGTTGTCCTCGGTCCCCACTACATTGACGAGAGCATGAGCCGACCAGATTCAACCCGTTGTCAGCATGCCACCCTTTAGAATTCATTCTTAGCTTTTCACTGGCTCTTTCAATACATTAAAAATAACATCTGAAATCCAACGCTTGACAAACAAAGTCTGATTTCTAAAGACGAATAGCTGTGACGCAGGGTCGCCAAAGGTTGAAGTGGATAAAGAAGAAGAAAACTCTCTCTTTTTGCGGAGTACTTATTCTGATTAACTGAGAGTGTTTACTAAAGTGTCGAGTAGCCCGTCGAAGCATCTGGAAACATTCCCAGATTCCAAATCTCAGATTGGCAGAAAGCTCATTGGCCTCACCTGGACTGAAACAAGGAATTTAACCTCCGTCACTCGACGTCACTCCTCTGACTTTGCAGGATGCAGGAGGTGGCTGCAACAAACGGACTACTACACCTGTGTACCATTAAGTTCAACAGAGAACTCACGTTAACAGACACTGGGTAGCATCGGTGTGTGCTGCTCACAGTCACAGTTTTATTGACGTCTTCTTATTAAGACATTTTAAAGTGTACTCTGCTATGACACTTAGTATGAAGTGCATATACAGCAGTCGTAATGTTTGTCTCAAAAAGACACACCTGTCAACCTGACTGATGGAAATAGAGAGAAGGATGATGATTTGTTCAAACTGTGGCGTAACTGTGCAGCGTTTCTAATGTTTCCAGCTCAGGTGTATTGATTGAAAGCCCGACTGAGATCGCAGAGGTGTGAATGAAATTGCACCCACCTCCTGCAGTCCTCCATGTCATTTCTATTCACTCCTCTGCAAAATCTGCACCCACAATTGAATATAAATGAGCCTGTAGGGGGGGTGCAGAGCGACATGAGTATCTGACTGTCACTCCGAACAGCCGGGTGCTTCCGGATTAAGACTCTTATTAATTAGCAAAGCAATGAATGTATTCTTTAATTTATTTAATTTATATAGTTTGTCTTTTTTTTAAATGATTTATAAGTTCAGAAACAAACTGTTCTTTCCTTTCCTACAAAGCCTTCTCAGGTTATCTCCCCTCTGCAGCCACACAGGGGGCAAACACACACACACACACACGTGCGCACACACACACACACACACACACACACGCACACAAGCAAATGTTTTGCTCGTCAATGCAAAAGTGTGCAGCTGCATGAGTGTTACGAAGTGGTTCATTTCCTTTTTGGAAAATGTGTCTTCGGTTTCATGATGCCCGCCAGGATCCATCTCTGATGCCGGCCTCGTCTGTACTCACATCTTTTATTTAAGCGACGTGATGTCGTAAAGTCAAAGCAGAGCTTCAGAGAATGAGAGCCTGGAACAGGAACGTCTTCTTCAAACCGTTCCAGGATTGTTTGAACTGTGATCATTCCTCTTTTTTTTTTAACCACTCACGTTTTTTAACAGGGAAACAGTTAAGCAAGAGAGCCCATAAAGAAACCCCTTTGTTGGAAAACACAATATGCAAGTATCCAGTGTCACTGAATCCCTCACAGCCTCTTTCCTGGCACCTTCTGTGCAGCTTGTAGTGCAGATGGATGCCTAACACTGTAGAGACGAGTGACATGAGCTGCTGTTTTCTCTGTCCCTTGTTACTAATTAAGTGTCTATTTAGGTCTGACTCAACTGTTGTAACTGTCACAGGTTCATTATCTAGTCGAGTCTCTAGAGCTCTGCATAAGAAGTTATCATCACATGTATGGTTATGTCATGTAAATTGCTTCAACAGCCTAACAAACTAACTTTAATGTCAGAAATGTCACATTTAATCAGCCTGCAGACCTTTGGAGGCAATCTGGGATGTTGTTGGCTATTTACCATCTGATTGATTGAACCTCAAATGCTCAGTTCAACCCAAGCATCCTCACCCAACGGGTCCAGCTTGTGCGCAGCATTTCCTATCAGTCTACCAAAAAACTCTTTGATCAAACTGTAATTTCTGTTGAGCGGCTTGTGGAAATTGGCTGCCATCACGAAATGTTCTCTCGGAAGCGAGAGGGCATCTTTTGCCATTTTCCAAAAGTGAGATTGCAATGTGTCGTCTTTCGATGCCCTGCAATGTGATTGGCCACCTGTTGTAACCTTTAGTGAACCCCGCGGCAGCTTGCCAGCGTATGTATAATCGCAGTCACCTCAGCGGCAGCGCCGCGTCGGCGCTGGGAGGCTCCGAGTGTCGGGCAATGCCTGTCAAATCTACGGGCGAGTAATGACAGCACTGCAGTTCAGTCCTGCTGATTGGCGTGTGGTTCCCTGCCAGCAAAAGAATAGTTTGCCTCCTCGTCCGATGTGAATTCCTCTGGTCCCTGCTATGCTAATTACATATGCTTCCACTGTAGGTGATGTTGTTGCAGAGAAAAGTGAGACGGTGGAGCGGAGGGGAGAGGAAACTCTGCGAGACCTGACTAACCGATTCATTTTATTTTGAAGGGAAGACCAGAGGAGCCTTCTCTTTGCCCAAGGGAGCACGAAATGTGTTTTTAAATGAAACTGAAGACTCTAGAAATATACTGGGTGAGTCACGGTAGGTTTGCAAGCGGTGGACATCCGTGACAGAAGAACTTTGCTGCCCTGTAGTCTGAAATAACTCTCACTTGTGCCTCATTGAAGCATGGCTGAAGGCATTCACATCATCTCTGCACATAATCAATATGGAAGATAAGAAGGGGGAGTTTCGGGGCCTTTGGGAGACGTTCAAGTATATATTGTGCAAGGGGTCATTTAATGACGCAACAGATGGATGTGAATGAACGGCCTGTTTCAATGAGTTCTACCTGCAGGCTTCTACAGCGAGGAGGAAAGCTGACAAGTACAGGTTTTGCCATTTTCTTTTCTTGCCTCAAACGTCTTCGAACATCTTTGTAGAGCAAAGAGAAGCGCACTTCTGATACATACGCGATGTCCACCACTGCAAACAAAGATCATTCCTGTACCTGCTTAACTTACCTGTCTGTGTCTTTATCTTTCCTAACCCCCCCTCCTCTGCTTCTGCTGCTGCTGCTGCTGCAAACTTGGCAAAGGTTACCTTAAGATGTTTCTCATTCCTCCTGGAGCTAGACATGTGATCATCCAAGAACACGAGGCCTCCCCTCAAATTCTTGGTAAGTGTGACTTCCTAACACGAAACACATGTTTAGAAATGAAGAGGAAAGATATCCCCATCCTCGTGTTTCCCCGGGAAAGACGAGTGGGAACATTAACTGTAGAATCATAGATTGTAGGCTTTGCATAATTTATTCACTGTCTCCCTTTGAGGCGGAGAAGATGAGTCTTCATTAAGCTCATTCATCATTAATCAATCTGTTCAGGAGAGTGGTGTTTTTCTAAAGTGTGTTTAGGTGAATTCAGTCGTCAAGCACATTTAGAAGAAATCTGAAATATTTATGACCAATGGAAATATGTTAGGAGTCAGAATAAAATATCTTCATCGTCATATTTAAGTGTAACTAGAGATCGATCGTCATCCACTGGTTTTCAGATGATCGGCCGATTAAGTTCATTTTACTTTTTTGTTGGTCACATTGACAGACGTGTGCCGGCGTTGTTGGTGTGGACGTTTTTCAGAGTGACAGAAGAAGAACTAAAGCTCGCAATTTGTCAAAGTCCAAAATACGTCGTGGGGGGTTCAACCTTAAAAACATTTGTCATCAGAGTGACTAACGTTAATGGAAGTTGAATCGACTTGCCTTATGATGTGTTCAAGATCTATTCATTAAAATTCGTATTGCGCCCATCGTTGGCCTCACGGGTTGTAACTCTTCATCTCCCGCCGCCAGCTTTCTGTTTCAACTTTGGTTACCTCTAACAATGATAACAGTGGTTCCTTTAATTAACCTTGACTAAGAGGTTATTATTAATATCTCCATAAAGTAGTTATTTCAGCATAAACCATGGTATTTCTCTTAGTCTAATTAAGTTGTTGTTGTGCCTAAACCTAACCAAACAGAGTCAAGCATTGCATTTTGCTGTTTGATTTGGAGAAGTAAAGCTGTAAAGGCATTAGTAAACATTGTCTTCCGTTTGGAGCTGCTCTAATAAGTCCACAAACCGGTCTCTAACTTTTTGTGTCCAAAGTGTCAGGCGTTCTTTGTGATTTTATCCAATATTTAAATAAAAATGACTGATCGATGCTGCTGTAAATGAAACTTTTAAGACCTACAAAGTTACAGTAAGTGAGCACATCAGCAGTAAAAGTACAAAAGTGAAAGTTGAGAAAACCCGGAAACATCAGAAAAACAAACATTCATTCCTGTCTGTTCCCGATGGGGACTCTGCCAGGCTGATGATTGAAGGCATGGGAGAGCTGGCTAATCTTTTTGTTTCTTGTTTCTGTGGATGGCCCGAGGAAAGCATGATTTATTCAGCGTCCAAGAGGTGAAAGAAGTCGACATCGATCTCCTCAGCTAGAGGCAGTGGGTGTTTTACATTTACCCACAAGTTATCTATCTGAACCTCCTGTGCTGGGCAAAGTTAGAGGGGAGGAGTAGAGAAGTGAAGAAGATCGAGATAAACCGATGTGTGGAGTGAGTCTTTGAGGAGAGAGGATAAATGGCAGAGCTGTCCCAACTCAGTATAACTGAAACCTGAAAAAACAGTCAGGCTTCTTGAGATATTGATAGGATTTCTATCTTTAAATTCATAAAGCCCACATCAACCTTGAGAGACGTTCTCTCAGGATTAGTCAGAACTGAGTCTCTGGTATCGGGTTTTGCCGTAAACCTACTGAGACATTGAATGTTTGAATGTTTGTTTTGTAAAAATGTATGAAAGAAATTGAGAAATGCCCTCACAAAAGAGCCCAGAGTGACACCTTCAACTACAACAGTCCAAACTTCCAAATGATTTAAAATGAATAAATAATAATTTTAAATAATGACATGGAAATTTTTGCTTCAGAAATGTCTAAATGCTTATCAAAATAATAAAATTGTCAAAAAGTACAATACGAAAAGACACTCAAATGTGTACTTAAGTACAGTACTTGAGTTAATGTACTTGCATTCCACCACAGACAGCACAGCATCTTACCTTTTCCAGACTCTTGACGTCGAGCCGTAAACACACTTTCAGCGGAGACATTCGAAGCAGGACTGCTGCCTGCTCACTGTTGCTGAGCTGTGATTGGACAACTGCCTCTCTCAGGGAGTTAAACAAACAACGTGTCTCTCTCAACAGGACCTTGTCACGTATGTTTGGAAGACTCTCTGAGAAGAACTTTTATTCAAGTCAAGATAGTTTTGTTTATAAACCCAGAAAAATCACATCTCACGAATGTTCCTCTGGAGACAGTCACTTTCCTGCTGCTGCACGGCCGGGAGGGTAATAAGGAAGTGAGTCTGCCCCAAGCCATCGTCTTCTTATCTCCTGCTCTGGGATTATTACCTCCATGTAGCGACGCTCACCTTCTATTTTTCCCACATATGCATAAATCAAATTTAATCTTCATTGTGATGCGTTACGCAGCATTATTACAAGGTCTTGACCCCCGCTGATAAGGATGGAAGCCATGCTGTCAAAAGCTCTGATTAATTGCTTATTGCCCCCCACCGCCCTCCCGTTCTGTGGGTCCCTTGATAAGCTTTAGACAGGCAAGAGGAGAGAGAGAGAGAGAGAGAGAGAGAGAGGGAGAGACAGAGAGAGAGAGACACAGAGAGAGAGAGAGACAGGGGGAGACAGAGAGAGAGACGGAGAGAGAGAGACACGAGAGAGAGAGAGAGAGAGAGAGAGAGAGAGAGACACAGAGAGAGACAGAGAGAGAGGGGGGGAGACACAGAGAGAGAGAGAGACAGAGAGCGAGAGAGACACAGAGAGAGAGAGAGGGAGACACACAGAGAGAGAG